CTTACAGCTAACAAATCATTAAGACCATTAAATACCAAAAACCCTATTTATTATACCGATGGTAGGTAACAAAACCACGTAACTCCATCTGTTTTTGTAAACCACATAACTCCAATCTCTGAGCTATACATGCCCAGAGAGATTTGAAAGTACATCTGTATATTTAACCTGGATGTGATTGTGGATTGTACGGCTATTAGTTAATAAACTCTTATTTTCCATTACAAAGTTTACTAAAATGGAATTATGAGTGTCGTAGAAACGTGGCGACCATTGTCCACCCATGAGCTAACTAGCGTATTCAGGATTTAATTTTGGGAACGGATTCAGCCCGAAAGATTTTTCTTCATATATACAACAATAATTAATTTGAAAAAAAAAAAAGAAATTAACTTCCAACGTGAAATGGTGTTTGGGTGATTCTCGAAGTCCTATTTAATGTTATTATACGAACAATAATACTTTAAGAGATAGTTTTTAATATTTTTTTCTATGAAGCAAAGTTATATTTTACCGTTTTGGAGGGAGAGGGCCCCGTAGATCCGCCTGTGAGGTTGGGTGATCATCAACTCTGACACCACTCGGCACATGCGGATCTACGGAGGGGGAGGGGTCTTTCTGGCTGAAACCCCCTCCCTCTCCAAAATGGTAAAATGTAACCATGTTTTATGAAAAAAATATTAAAAACTTATCGATTAAAGTATTATTCTTCGTTTAATTACATTTAATAGGATTTCAAGAATCACTTAAGTATCATTACATATAGGTAATTAATATCTTTCTTTTTTTTTCAAAGTAATTTTCGTTAAGTAATTTCGTTCAAAAAAAGTTTTCGGCTGGGCCATCTCCACCAAAATTAAATTCTGGATCCACTAGTGCCACACAGTACACTGTTAAAGTACTCAAACAGTTAAAGGCCAATTATCCAATAATCCCAGGATAATAATGGTTGACACTCTTACTACCAATCTTCTCAATATCCTCAATACCCATGCTCCCCTCAAAACCTCTACCTTTCGTCACCGGCCTGCTCCTTGGGTGTGTCAGGAAATCAAAGATCTGCAGAAGAGGCGCGACGCTGCCCGAAGACGTTTTAGACGTACTAGGCTTGCAGATGATTACCAAGCGTTCAGGATGCTTCGCAACTTGGCACAGACAAGCATCCGGCGTGCGAAAGATACCTACTTCAATGAATCCCTTTCCTCAGCTCCTGATATCAAATCGGAATGGCTAGTGCTTCGGAAACTTTCTATTTGTAATCCTTCCAGATCCCCCGCAGCCTTTCCTGTATCCTCCGATGATTTAAACTCTTATTTTATATCTGTCACTAATACCTCTTCTCTACCCTCCTTTTCCGGATTTTTTTCAGAGATATCCTTTAACGACAATAACTTTTATTTTTCCTACATTTCCCCCACAGACCTTTTAACCACGGCAATGAAATCCAACACCAATTCCATAGGACCAGACGGCATCCCTGCCAAATTAATAAAATTATATCTCCTTGAAATCCTCCCAGCTCTCCTTTTTATCTACAATTTCTCCCTTCAGAATTCAGTATTTCCTACCTCTTGGAAAAAAGCCATTGTTCTTCCTTTAAATATAAAGCCTAATTCATCCTCGCCCGAAGATTTCCGTCCAATCTCAATTCTTTCTAACCTCCCAAAGCCTCTTGAAAGACTGGTGCAATCCCAAGTCTCCAAGTTTCTTGAAAAGTCCAACCAATTTGATCCTCTCCAACCTGGTTTCCGTCTCGGCTATTCCACACACAATCTGCCTTAATTAAAATTATTAGTTACATTCAATCTGCAATAGGTGATAGAAAATTAGCTGTCCTTATACTTCTCGAATTCTCTAAAGCCTTCGATATTATTAACCATTCCATCCTCTTCAACAAACTGATATCATTATCTTTCTCCAATATTTCCATCTCTTGGTTCCAATCTTTCCTCTCCCAACGCACCCAAACAGTCTCCACACCCAAACAACCACTATCTGACTACCTTCCTTTATCCTCTGGAGTTGCCCAGGGTTCAAGCATATCTCCTCTCCTTTTCAGCTCCTATATTAACGACTTACACAATTCAATTCTCCATTGTTCCCACCACCTTTCTCCCCCTGAGTTATTGGTAGCATTTGCCAAGATTCAAGAAGACCTTGATCGAATCAGTGCCTGGGCAAATGTAAATGGATTAAGGTTAAATGCTGCCAAAACTCAGGCCATTGTCATTGGTTCGAAGCCCCTTATTAAATCCCATACCGGCTTTCCCATATTACACCTTAAGGAACAGCCAATTTCCTTCAAATCCTCTGTTAAAAATTTAGGATTTTTCATAAATCTAACCCTCTCCTGAAACTACCATATTTCTCACATTTCCCGACGAATAAATCCCCCTTCATATCTACCCTTAAACTATTTTATCGCTTCCGCTATCTCCTACCTCAACATACCCGTAGACTAATAATTTCCTCTCTCATCTTCCCCCATCTTGACTACAGCTGTGTGGTGTATGATGGCCTCTCGGTGAAGCTCGGTGACAGACTGAAAAGATTAATGAATAGCAGCGTAAAATTTGTTATTGCTGCCCCGAGGTACTCCCATGTCTCTCACCACTACACTGAGTTAAGGTGGCTCTTTCCCCCCTTTCGAAGACAATATTTCCTAGGTACGTTCTTTCATCAAATCATCAATAACTATCGTCCTTCTTACGGGTACAACCTTCTCCAATTAAAGTCCTCAGTCCATTTCCTTTCAACAAGAACTCGACCTTATGACCTCTACATCCCTTCTCACAGATCTGTCTCATTTCAAAACTTCTTTATTGCTCGCGCTGTCAATTTCTGGAATTCTCTACCTATCAAAACTCTTCATTCCCCCTTCATATCCACATTCAAAACCTCCTATTCCAATTCCTATCCCAAAAACAGTCAGATTCTTGCTAAACTTTTGACATTATACATTTTTATTACATCATTCATCATCAAAGGACAGTACTATTCCATACTGTTAACTTCAGTAGAGATTTTAGAATATCTTCCTACTCTCAATGCCACTGAATGCATCTATTGTTTACTTTTTATTCTTAAACAAATAAATTTGTACCTATAGTTACAATAAGATAATGATGTGTTTAGATATTATTCATTATTAAATACTCTGACATTTTATATTGTCAGATTTGTCATTCCTTTGTTAGCAGAAAACAGCTTATTTTAAAGAAGAATTCAATGTATTTTTTATTATTTTATATTTCAAAAGTGTATAATTATAATTTTTCCTACTGTACATAGTTTTAAGTGTCTTGTCATAGTTTTAAGTGTTTTGTATATAGATTTGTTTTTGTATATAGCTTTTTTAACTAATATTTTCTTTACTTTCTCTTTTTTTATTATGGCCAGATGTAGTCTTTTAATTACGTACTTTGTTGATATTCTAAAGGGACTTTGTTCCAGAATAAAGTTATTTTATATTCTATTCTATTACAGTACCCATACCCATCCTAAGGCAGCCTTCCCTAAATGAAATCGTTCAGGGTAGAGTAGTAGGACAGACTGCTGAAAAGAGATTCATCCCCTTTCTGACACTAACTAAGGTTAGCTCCTGGAGGTGCACTGCTCGCTAACGCACCCAATGACATAACAATACTTCACAAAGGTCCTTAGAGTCGGTCCCGACCAAGTGTCCCGCTGCTGATTTAGCCTCTATTAGAGGAGTTGTTCTAGAAGGTACAGAAAAAAAAGAAGAATGGCACATCTCGGACGTTGGAGTAGTACAGAATCCCGCTCTCCTAGCCGGAAAAGGGTGGCTGCATTAGATGTAGACCGATATATGAAGTTAAATAATAAAAAATGTATAAGAAATTACTAATAACCAAAATTGTTATTTTGTTGTACCTCCAGCCACTCCCCTTTATAACAGAAATGGAGAAGTAGGGAGTAACCGAAAAAAAAAAAAAAGATTCTTTGTACTGCCGGTTTGAATCCTACCTGGGCGGGGATATAATTTATTTAGTGTAATTCTAGAACAACCTCCACTCCTCCGTATGCCAGAAATGGCTAGGTAGGAGTTAAACAAAAAAAAATTGTTCTGCCTCGGATGGTTCGCTCATGAAAGGACTGATCGTATGCTCGTCACCAGTAGTTTTCTCCATTCTTTTGCTCTCTCTAGGCAATTTAGGCTCTAGTGCTATCCAATTTAGAGTGTTTCTTTTAGAAAGTAACTATCATGAATCATACCTAATACTTATTTTCATTTTATCTTTAATTTCACTAAGAATGATGTTATAGTGAGAAAATTAAGATATATTCTTAGTAAGAGAGAACAGTTAAACCTATAATGATATTGGCAAATAACAGAGGAAATTAAGAAAACAACATAATTTTAAAGTAACCACTTTTCGAGAGAGTGGAAGATCGCCGATTTGAGAAGCTCTACAAGAAGGTGACAGGGATAAAAAAAATTCGCTAAATCATACAGACCTTGCGATGAACAAGGTCCCCATAGTAATATTCTACGATCAACACTAGATAGCAAACCACTCATGGAATTATGGATCCGCTAGGAAAAACCATCCATACCTTGCTGCAAGTGCGCCATGACGTTCAGAAGAAGATGACATACTTTTTTATATATATCCTTTGCATTTGATAGCGTATGGTGAGGGAATTTTATTGAAACGGGTTCTTTATACATTAAGACTTGTTATTTGGTGGACGTTATTTTTGAACTGTGCAAAATTGTATTTATTTTTTTAAATGACCCGTCCAAGTACGGTTTTATTCTTTAAGGGCACAAACTCAAAAAGAAATTATATAGGTAATATAAGACATTTACAAGGAGGTTTCTGATAAATGTCAAAAAAAAGTTGATAGTGATACCTATAGGAATTCAGAAGCATTATCAGCGAAATTAGAACCAGATAAGGGATGGAGTTTGGTTGACAAGTTTAAACCCAGGTCAACACTGTTGGGGTGTGAGGTTTTATGGTTTTGGTGGTTATCTTCTTGGTTACAGTTGCAGATTCCAAGTTCTGTCATGTTTCTTATTGTTGTGTTTTCTGACTAAGTTTATTACAAAACTCCTTTAGCTAAAATGCCTAAAAACACAGCTTCAATTTTTTGGTTATCCCAGTTCAGTTTTAGAAAATACTGTTACCATTGTGTTCATAAACCCTGTTTCCTTCAATGTAATAGTAATAGTAGCTAGTTAGATATAAATATTATGTTGTATATATAGTTCGATGTGAATTTGTGTAAATATGGCTGAGGAACCCAACTATGATTCAAACTATGAGTTAAAACATGAAACTGGGAAGAATATTGATATTGGAGACATGACATTTAATATGACAAATTATCACAAAGACGTCTTAAAGGTAAATAAAGAAAACTTTTTAATACAAAATATTGATTTTCATTATTGTTATTTTAACATCAAAACTTTTAAAATATAATACATTTGCAATTTTGTGTTTTCTGTTTGAATTTTCAAACTAATTATTAGTCTTAATTCACGAATTGAATGGCTTGATCCTATAAGTTAATAAGGAGTAATAACTAAAAAAAAAATTATATTTACTTGTTTATATTAATGTTTTAGTTATTATTAAATACAAGCAACATTTTATCTTTCTCAAAATACATTTAAAATGGTTTGCATAAATATTTATGGTTTACAATAGATATTTATTTGAGTGTTTGAAATCTGTTTTATTTAAATATTAAAATAAAAATTTGTCTCCTGCTAATTTTAATTGTTATAATTGATATTATTTAACTGTTAAATTAATAATTATTGTTTATATGATATGAGAAAAACATGTATTTGGTGGAGTGGGGGATGTGACAAGTCATGTCATATGAATCAGCATATTGAAATTGGCTTTCTTATCATACATCATTTCACCCTTTCAATTTAAATAATTGGTAATAGTTCTTCCTGATATCTATGATATCATTAGGTTTCAAGACCATTCATACCCAAGTTTTTAATAAAGTTATAAAATTTAATTTTTAATCATTCACGTAAATTTTCTTATAGAACCATACAAAATTTTTAGTTTTAATAATAATATGGCTATTAGAAGTTATGATTTCATTTCAGCTGTAAAATAAAACAGCAATAGGTTCCCTGAACTGGCTTAGATTTGGGCTGTAATGAACTTTAATTGATTTACCTGGTTTATGTTAAGTCATTAAGCAAATAAAACTGTATATTTTATCTTTCAGATGAGTTTTTTTATATTTTAAAAACAGTTTCTGGAAGATTAAGTATTCATTAAAAACATTCTTCTTAATATCAAGAGAAATAGAAGTTGGTTGGGGGGCTGCGGTCATAGATGAAATAACACAGAGAACCCTTATTATCCTATAGAGAACCCTTACCCTTATAAAAGTAACCTTATTTTATTGTATGGCAACGTTTTCGGCCTTCATGAAGGCGAAATATATAACAATCCTATAAGTGTCTTATCTTAGCAACATAAATAAGAATCTTACACCAAGTGTTTTGTCTTGGTATTTGTGGAAATTTTATGCTTGTCATTCTGATGAAGGCATTAAGACATATATATTGACAACACTTCCTACCCAATTTCTCTTATAATTTATTTTCTGCTTAAAAATATCTCTACTTGTGAGATAATGTTGGTATTGTTTCTTTGGTTAAAAGCTTATTATGTGTATATCTTATTATTATGTTAATAAGTTTTAAATATAAAATAAAAAATCGAATTGAAATGTTTAAATATTCTCATTTATGAGTATGCTTGTACCAAATCTGAATCAGCTGCAGCCTTTCTTTATCCACTTACCTATTCAAATTATATATCGGTTGGTGTATAACCTTTCGATGATTTTTGTTTGAAACGTATTAGATTAATCGGTCAACCGTGTGGGTTATAAATGCAATTGATGTATTATAGGATTTCATAAAATCTGCGTTTGTGTGTATTATCAAACACTGATAATGTTGGTTGGTTGTTACATTCAAGGCATGAAACTGTTGCTTATCAACACCATAATTAAGATTTTTTATTTATTTATTTACTGCCTTTTCATATAAATAGGTTTTAACTTGTAGGCCTCCCCTAATTAAGGGGATAATGGCCTAATTTCCCATGGGGACCAGCCATAATTAAGATTATATATAATTATATATGATGGTTTTGAATTAAAGAAATGAAATTAAATTAAAAGGACGTAAAATACACTTTTAAGTTTAAAGTTATGTAAGGCTATAAGGTTAAGTTAATTAAAGTTAAATTTAAAGTTAGCAAGTTAAATACAAAAAATAAAAAAAGATTGGGGTGAGCTACATGAGAGGTTCAGATATTTTTAAAGATTCCTTCCTCAGAGAGAAAACTTGACAGAAAAAAACAAAACAGAGAAAAATATATTTTGCTTTGCTCAAGATTTTTCATCATTTTCCAAAGCAGTTGATGTATTTGCTGGAATTCCACTTTTGTTTAATTCTCTGGTTTAAAAGCCACAACTCTAAATGATATGGACCACTGTCATTCTCTCTCCACACTTCTGACAAATGGGTGTGTTTTCTTTTGTAAATAAGTGAAAGTGCTTAAGCCTGGTATGTCCTATTCTTAGTCGCGTAAGAACTGGAACTGCTCAATGGCTTTACTTCATTTTTTTTTATGGCCTTTGGTTTATTTGGAGGGCTGTTGTCCCATAGTGTCTGCCAATCTTGGTATATGGCCTCTTTCTGCAGTCGTGCCAATTCGGACACAGTTAAGAAAGCTTTACCATGTTCTAGGAGGATAAGAGCTTATTTCACTGCTCTATCAGCCATTTCATTCCCAACAATGCCTACATGATCAGAAGACCATGAAAAATGTACTAATTTGTTTTATGAGCCCCAAAATACTATATATTCCTAGGTGGTCTGGATAAATGTAGTATATGGCTTTAAGACTGCTCAAAGAATCTATCTGATATCACAATTACATTTTCAAATGGCGAATTCATCAAATGTCATAGAACCATTGTGAAAACATTAATCTCAACAGTATATATAGAACAAGGTGAATATAGCTTACATTTATAGGTAGCATCAGGTGTGACGAAAGCAGATGCTGTTGATGTGCCCGATCTAGAATCATTCGTGAATATTAGTAAGTGTTCTGTTAGAGAACTTATTGTTTTATGGAAGTTCTTTATTTTTTGCAGATCCTGTATTTTATTTATTAAATTTGGAGAGTAGTAGTAGATTTAATTTAGGTTGTATAAAAGTCCACGGGAGTATGTCATTTTGAATTAAATTAAAATTTATCGGTTTCAGCTTGCATATTGTAAAAATGTCATCCTTTCTGCTAATGGCAATGTTGCATTACTCTTTTGTTGAAATTTTTTAGAGAATAGCGGTAAATTTCTCTAATACAGTTAGTTGCTTTATTTGCAAGCTAAAATTAGTTATTTTAATAAGTTTTGAAACTATTTTTTTTATTTCTTACAAGTGTTGAGCGCCCCTGAAGATCACCCCCCAATTGGCGCCCTAATTGCCCTGGGTGCCCCAGCCTAGGGCCAGCACTGATTTCAGTTATTAAGTTATGAAGGATAACTGAGTGAGATTATGGGCTCTTATAAAACACCAGTTTTCATCAATTTCAAAAGCTTTTTTGAGTGAAATCTTTCAGTATCAGAGGAAGCTAGAATGAGATTTTTAAGGATGTTAAATGTTCAGTGATACAAGGAAAAGCAAATATTTCTATTCTATATAGGAATAACATTAGAAAACTATTTGAAAGGAAAGAAGAAGTAATTTATTGAAATTTAAAAAAGAGAGAATTGTCATTTGTTTTAATTTTTCCCACTATTTTCTGAGTCCATTTATAAAAATAAATTTTTTTCTTGCATCAGACCTAATATCATCCTTTAATTCTTGGCCTACCTCTTAGATATTTAACTTTCAATTCAGCGATGATAAAATTTTTAAAAATTTGTCATTTATCCAGCCTTTTATTCTCAAATCATCTAACAATTTAAAATGATGTTAACTTTATTGTAAAATCAAGATAATTTTTTTTGTTAGAGATCAGTCAAGTTAAAATTGTATCCTACTATATGTTTTTAGTTTTTATCATGTAAACAAACATTTCACATAAACCTTATATACCATATTAATTATAAATTAATAACAATGACAGAATTTTATTGTTTTAGATGATGTCGATGATGAAATGCCATCAAATGTTAACTGATGTTACCCTTATTGTTGGGTCTGAGAAAATGAAAGCTCACCGAGTCATGTTAGCTGCTGCTAGTCCTTATTTTAAGGTAATTATTTCCTTTCATTAATCATTTCTATCCATTAAATAAAAGTATTAATCATTACATTTTAACCTCCCATTTTTTTTTTTTTTTTTACTCAATAAAATTAGAAAATTAGATTATCTATCCATCTGCAGAATCTCGAGTGGGCTGTAATTAGTGTACCAGGATTGTAGCTATAATTTTATATCCATCTATCTTTTAAACCATTAAAACATTTAATCCATTCACTTGTAATAAAACAAAACAAATTGATAGCTATTAGGACCCTTGCTTGGTAGCAGAAGGGCATTAGACATGTTGAGGGTTAAGTAGATGTCTAACAGCCTTGATCAAATTAAAGCAACAATGATTTTAATGCTAATTAATATAATTATATTAATAATTAATATATTGTATTCAAGGGAAAAATGTCTAGGTCGAAAAATAACTGCTGTCACCTAGGTAAAATCAAACTGCCACCTCCAAATAGATTTTCTGTACAAATTTTTGGTCTAAAATTTTTATTTTGTATTAGGAGAGCAGATCACAGGATCTTAGTACTGTAACGAAGACACCAGGGTGTAAATCTCTATTTTATATTTAGATAGTAGGAGGTTACAGGAGTTCAACACAAATGTAATTAAATGAACAGTTGTATAATTAGTGCTAACTATAGGAGAGCGCCTGTAATCTCCTACTCCCTAATACTAAATTAAAATAAAATATGAAAGTCACTCAAAACTTTTTTTATATAATAGAGAGATGTATATTCAGATATTTTCAAAATTCAATCCTCAGGTAAAGTCTTGTTTCAGTTTACCTTGTAAACCATTTTCTGTGTAAGTACCTTTGACTATAAAATAGTGCTTGCAATTTTTGGAAGAACTATTTGCGTGTTTTACTTGAAAGTTTAATAAAAAAAAAAAATCTTAATTGAATATTTATTAAGAATTTGTTTTTAACGTTACATTTGTTAACTTTGGTTCAATTCAGAAAATCAATATTTTTTTAAAATGTTAATTAGGCTATGTTTACGGGAGGTTTGAAAGAGTGCGAAGCCCGTGAAGTGACTATTCATGATGTCTGCCCTGCCACGATGTATCTCATCCTGGATTTTATATATACTGGTCAGATCAGGGTCACAGAGCTAACTGTCTGTAGGCTGCTTCCAGCTGCTGCCATGTTTCAGGTAAGAGGGCCTCGGAAACTACTGAAATTAAAAAAAGAAATTGTTATTGTTTTTCTTTTACAGACCTTTTGATAAGGAGCCTGTATCTAGATAAGTTTGTGTCTATTTATTATTTGCTGCATGTAGCCAGCCCTTGGATATGTTAGTTTATACTGTCTTATCCTACAAGGTTTATAGTATTTCAACTTATTTTTTGTCTATTACCATGCCTCATATAAAATGAAATGACTTTTGTTAAACTGTTGTCCTTATAGAATAAATTAAATATACAGAGTAAATAAGACACACGGTTGAACAGAAGTGCCTTAGTCTTTTCTCTTTCAATAGAAGCTGCGGAACAGTTTATTCTTATAATTATTACACACTTCATCATTTTATTTTTCCTGTCTATATCCTTACAAAATAAGAACTTTTTCATTTATATTTGTTCAATAAAATTTCTCATATGTAGTTTATTAAATATTATAACTTTTTTTCTCTTCCTGAAACAGTGATAAGATAAATATTAAAATTATTTGCTATATTTACAGGTGACAGATGTAATACGAGCATGTTGTATTTTTCTTGAACGCCAGTTATCTCCTGCTAATGCTATCGGTATAGCTAACTTTGCAGAACAGTATTCATGTGTTGAACTTCAATCTAAAGCTAACCAATACATTCTTCGAAATTTTTCTCAGGTAGCCCAATTTTTCATTTTTACTTAGTAACTATATTATGATGTATTTTTTTTGTTTTATGTTTAAAAAGAAAAGCTCTTTTCTTCTTTTAAACTGTTGTATTTATTTGGATTACTTTTTATCAAAGGTTTGTGAGGAAGAAGAGTTTACGCAACTGACACCTAATCAGTTAGTAGAGTTAATTCGACGCGATGAACTCAATGTGACTGAAGAAAGGGAAGTGTACAATGCCGTTCTGCGATGGGTTAAGTAAGTCGGAATAAATCTTTGTTAATTTTTGTTTCTTATCAATTTTGAAATGATTTATTTATTTACCTAGTCTTATGTCCACTTATTAGCATTCAATTCATTTGAAGGCAATTTCCTTAGCATGCTTTCTTTGAGGTTTCGTATTTTCTGATGGTCAATTGAATCCAACTCTTCTCTTCTTTGGTTTTGATTGTGTCTCTCTATCTAGTTCTTTATATCCAATTTGATTATTACATGGCAATAGCCTTTAGGAAACTGTCAGAGGTTGGCAAAAAGAACCACAAGACCCATTTGCTGAACCAGTTCCCTCCGCCAGTACCTCTTCTTTCATTCATGGAGATCCTACCTAACTGTTTAAACTTTCCCTCTGTGATAGAAATTGTGAGTTAGGGCGTAACATTAAAAAAAAAAAAAATGTTTGAACTTAAAAAAAAGATTGTTTAACTAAACACTTATGAAATATACTGATGAAATATCTTATGTCATGTAGATTCGAGTAGGATTGTTTAAATATTCTCTCTAGCAAATATTTCAAAAAGCTTAGTGATGTAGAATGTAGCCTAATTATAGTATTATAACCCTTACAATTAAATTTTTAATGTTATTATTTTTTTTATTTAACTTTGATAAAATCATTTCAGAACTAACGAAGAAGAAAGGCGGCCAATGATGCACTGTGTTTTGTCCGCTGTGAGGTGCCAGTTTTTAACACCTTCCTTTTTAAATGATCAGATGAAAAACTGTGATGTGATTAAAAGAATACCTGCCTGCAAAGAATACTTAGCTCAAATATTTAAGGTTCAATTTACTTTCAATATTTATTTTTTTTATTGATTTTGAAAATAATCAATTACAGTTTCAAGGATGAAGTTAGAAATAGAATACAAATATTGTACCTTTGTATAATTTTTTTGATAGTAATAATTTTTTTTTAAATATATACATAAAAGATAAAACTATTAAGTATATTCATAATAATGAAAGCTGACACAGTCATGAAAAAATTAATTTTGATGAGCCCTCATTTTATGCTATTTTTTTTTTTATATATCTAGACTTAAGTGCAATTTTACTTACTAATTGCAATGTTTATAGGAGTTAACCCTTCATAAGAAGCCCAATGTGAAAGAAAGATCTCCTGGGGGCCAAAGGATCATCTACTGCGTTGGTGGTTACCTGAGGCTGTCCCTAGAAACAGTTGAAATCCTCTGCTTGGATGACAATTCCTGGTCGTCTTGTGCTAAACTTTCGGTGCCCAGATCTGGTTTAGGCGCAGCCTTCGTCAAGGTATTAGGGAGTTTTCACTTATCCTAGAGGTGTATTTTCAAAGCCTTGAATAGGGATACTATTTCTTATGCCATTATTATGAGTTTTATTTAATTCAAAACTTTGATTCAAAATACATGATTAACATTTGGTCAACAATAATGAGATGATGTCCGATATTTAAACTTTTTTTATTTAAAGCTAAAAATTTAAACTTAAATTTAAACTTTTTAACCCTAATATTAATTTACTTTTAAGGGCTTGTTGTATGCTATTGGAGGGCGGAATACATCTCCTGGTTGCAGCTATGATTCAGACTGGGTTGACAGGTAATTATTATTCCGTTTATTAAACAAATCAATCATTTGTAGAGTATTAATAATTATTTTTTATTAATTTATGATTGAAATTTTATTCTAACCTTTTAATAATTTTTTGATAATTAATTATTTAATTATTAATCTCAAATATTATTTTATTAAAAGTTAAATTTTAGAACAAGATACATTGTGAAATTTCTTGAAATCATTAATAAAAGAAACTGTAAAGCTTAATAAATATTATAATTGACAACTAAAATTCTGAACTGTTGTTTTTGAAATAATTGAGCTGCATACATTCCTTTTTGAAGCCAGTTAAAAAAAGATGTTCATGTAACAGCATAAATTATGTTAATACATTTATGCGAAAAACCTGAAATAGAATAAAATTACTTGAAACTTTATTCAATGTATTGAGTTAATATCTCGCCTATTATGCAGTTTATAATTTATAGGTATGATCCTGTCAGAGATAATTGGAGAACTTGCCATCCAATGTCAGTTGCAAGACATAGATTAGGAGTCGGAGTTTTAGATGGACAGATATACGCTGTTGGAGGTTCTGCAGGGAATGAATATTACAAAACAGTTGAAAGGTATGCATAAAAGCCAATAATATTTCTGAACCTTTTAGTGACCAAATCTATAATTAAACAAACATTACTTAATTTTTTAAAATAATTTTTGAATTGATATTTGGGCCTTACTTCAAGTGATAATACTCGGTAAATAGTCAAAATTCTGTTTGCTTAAGCAAGTTAATTTGAACTAATATGACATTTATTAGACATTACTCATTACATGTTTGATTATTATTCAAGTTGAATAGAAATCAACCTCATATCTATGCTTTATGCTTATTAGAACTGAGTTTGTTGAAGCATGAATAGAAAATTTAAAAAATTAATTTCTTTATATATTCATGAAAACTAATTTTCTTTATAACTACATAAAAATTTAGTTCAATATTAAATTAACGTAAGTTCATTAAAGTATTTGTTCATCCAAGAATTTATTTCTTGTTCATTTCTTCTATTACATGCTTATAGCTAATAATTTACAGCTATTCTCTACTAACATTCTTTGTTTAAATTTACCAAATGAAAAAAAATAATAATTATTTAGCTTATCCTTTCTTTTTTTCTCCTACAGATATGATCCTGATGAGGATAGATGGTTCATGGTAGCTTCAATGAATAATAGAAGACTTGGTGAGTCGCTTATAGTTTAATATCAATCTAAGTAACTTGTATTAATATATTTATTTGAAAAAATTATTGACTAGTTGATAACAATATTGTATGAAGATTTGTCTCATAAATCAGGGGTTGGGGTGGCGGTCGTCAATAGGCTGCTGTATGCTATTGGAGGATATGATGGGAAGCAGAGGTTGAGCACTGTCGAGAGGTATAATCCCGATGAAAACTCTTGGACTTTCGTTGCAGAAATGTCAACTCCACGATCAGGTGCAGGTAATTTTTACTATTAAATAATTTATTAGTTGTAATACACTACGGCCATGGTTTCAAGGCAAGATAATTATGATTTTTCCTGTATTTTCATAATTTATTTTAATTTTCTATTTCGTTTTTTTTTTTTTTTATATTAACTTAATTATAACACACAAAATATGATTCAGCATCTTTTTTTTTTGTCCTTCCCATCCTCTGCATTTTTTGCCTATATCGAGTTTTTCCCGGACCAGGGGAGATGGTGACTGATTAATACCACAGTTAAAAGCCGTTCCTTCGCTCTCCCCTCCCACTCATTCCCCCGGAACCAGTTGTGAAATTGTACTTATTTTCCAAGTTATATTCAGTTTATCAGATTGTCGGCAACTGACAAGATTTGCTTATGCGTTAACTCGCTTGGCCACCCCCCCCCCCCCTTAATATTAGTCAGCATCTTATTCACTAAAGACAAGATTAAGATTGTTTACTTTATTTTATATCTCCGTATTATTGAACTGTGAAATAGAGTAGAGGAACATTCCTCGTTATGAATGGTGATTTATAAAATCATACAATGAACAATTGTGTCAAATGTTGTAATTATTCATTTCTAAGCTGACAGAGAAACAAGTGATTGTCAGTGTCACATGTTTTATGCTTCTAATGAAATGAGGCTTTAAAGATTTTGCAAAATTAAAATGTCCTATAAGTATCATTTTACCGCTATCCTTTATTCTATAAGTGTAATTACTGAATAAATTAAATGATTCAAAAATTCATTTTTAAACAATAGGTGTTGATGACATAGGGGTTTTACGCCTTTAAACAACAACAAACAAACAAACAAAAATATTTTTTTTTCTCTGTTTACGTTTATTCTGTGGGATTCCTTTAAAACCTGTACTTCTTATAAAAGCATTGGGAGAATATTTTTCCGGGAAAATTTGTTTCATACTAATGGTGTTTGAAAAATAATAATTCATATTATATGAATGAATGAAAAAATAATTTTATTCTTGGTCTACAGTCTTCTAAGAATAATAATAGAGTTACATAATTAAGAACATTAGTCTGGCTTATATGAATACAAAATGATGCCTAATTAACTGTTACTTGTTATTGCAATTTTACATGTTTGCAGAACTTTGAATATGGAGTAGGTGGTGGAACAGGAGTTTTTTGAAGGAATAGGTGGACGAGGATTGACGTATGGAGTTAGGTAGAGATTTCCAAAAGGAGGTAGCATGAATGACGAAGGATTTGCTGAAGGAAGTAGTTTTATGGGAGGGCATATATAAATCTATAGGTCGAGACCTGGAATTGAGAGAGTGGATGGAGGAAACTAAAGGAAGGAGTTTCAGGCTGTAGGGAGGATTTTTGGTTGTGAGGACTTATAAAAGGAAAATAAAGACTTGTAAAAGGTTATTCCAGGAGAGATTCTGATCAAAGGTTACTCCTAGTTTTTCGACTTGAGTTAAGTCATAGAGGAGTTAAGTCATATTTGCAGCATTTTAAGTATTACTTTTATGATAAAATACCATTCTGCAATGGGCAATGAACATGGCTAATTTCCTTTGGTTGCCTCCAACAGTTTTCACTGTATTGCTTAAAGATTTTTAACAGTTTTAAAAAAACTACAATATTTTGTATTTAAAAAATGGTTTCTTTGCTACATTTCACTTTTTTTCTTTTTAATAATTTCGAAGCAGTGCTAGTATACCATCCATTAAAGAATATATTGTAACAGGTTTCTGAAAATTTTTGCTTGGCTTATTAAGTGAAACAGATTGAAGAGAGGTGCCTAGACAACTAGCCCAGGTCACCCTCGCCAGGTGAGAGAAAGAATGATGGATTAATATGGTGCAGTTTTACCTTCCTAAATCAAGTTAATTTACTCATTAACAATTGTGTGTTCTTTGAAATGATTTATTGAGTTTGATATATAATTTACTAACTAGTTTTCAATTAACAGCAGCCAGATTTTTTTTTCTTTTTTCCGGTTTGTATGGTTACATTGTTAATTAGAAAAAAGAAAGACCTCTTGAATTCTGAAACTAAGTATAAATATTTTTTAATTATATGTTTTACACCCAAATTATGAATCAAGTTTAAAATTAAATTTCACATTTAAAAATTGTCTGATCTTAAATTTATTTCCCGATACTTAACTTTTACTTTTTTTCTCATTTCAACATTTTTAAACAAATCAGAAATCAACTTAAAACTTAATAAGTATTTATGAGTATACGTGGCTTTACTTCTCCTTCTTACCGCTCATCCTTGCGTTTTATGAGATTAAATATTTTCTCCTGGTAAAAGCCATTCTTCTCGTGTGTTTTATTACCATTTATCCTAAAGATGTTCAATAAAATTTATGTTTGGACTATGGATTAGCCTCACCGAGTATGAATACCAACCCATCTTGTTGATGCACTAAGTGACCGCTTCTGCAATTATCATCATCTTCGAGGATGTGAGTCGTAGATAGACTGCTGTTAACTAATCCTAGCGCATTAGAAAACAGCTCATATTTTTAATTAGAAGAGGTGTTTGTTTAAGCCATCTCTAGCCAACTCATTTTAGACACCTGCTAAACCAGAGGTCTCTAAACTTTTTACTCTGCGGGCCACAATGGGACCCCCACTAAGTCCCATGGGCCATAACTTGTGATGAAAAAAAAAGTTTGTTTGATAAATGACACAAAGCATACAATAAATACAGTAACCTCGTTTTTGAATGATTAACTAAATTTCATATTTTTTTAAATTTTATGTCATCAAAGATACTTCTGCTGCCCGAGCCGAATCTGGCCCACGTGCTGTAGTTTGGAGATCTTTGTGCTAAATAATTATTAACTTATAGCTATGGCAGGGAATAATTATCGACTCAAAAGTTTTTTGTTTAATAAGATTAAATAAATTGGAAAAATATCTTGGTGAAGCTAAACATTATCATTCTGTACAAACAATTTTCTATTATACAGCCTCTTAAAATTCATTTTATAAAGATTGATTATAGAGTGGTGATTTTAAATTGAGCTAAATTATATATTGTCACATTACAAAACAGAATCTATTCAGGTTATTTATTAATTTTTTTTCATCTATGACTGTTTAATTTAGTAAATTTACTTAATAAATTTAACTCTTGTGATTAAAAATAGCACATACTGTTTAGGAGTCGCTAGCCTGAAGCAATTTATCTATGTCGTTGGGGGTTATGATAACTGTCAACTGAAAACAGCTGAACGTTATGACACAGAGAATAATACGTGGACTCCTATCGCATCTCTCTCCGTTCCAAGGAGTGCGTTTTCTTTAGCAGCCATTAATGAAAAACTTTATGCTATAGGTAAGATATTTTAATTTTTTAACTTTAATTTGTTTTACATTCTTTCAACCCATTGCACTATGTCATTAGATGGTTGTTACTTCATTAACTAAAGGTTATTTATTGTTAGATGCATGCACACTTAGCGTTTCTTCTTTAAGTTACTTTTACCGAAATTAAGAAGATCCCAAATATTTGTGAAAAATTGAGGAGAGAAAGAATCTCTTTCAAAGACCCTCTCCCTCCCCATCTCCAGAGGTTTTTAATATTTTTATGTGGAGACCTTGGAGAAGGATTCAAATTTCAGAAACATGCGGTCCCTTTAACTTTATATTTTAAAGTTGTACATGGTGATGTATCTTAAGAATCGTGAAACATCATTAAATAAAGGATCTGTTTTAAACTTCAATGATGAATCTCATCAATACTTTTCTTCCTTCTTTTCTAAGTTATATTTATTCATTTTTAAAAATTGTTTACTTTAATAATAAGAGAAAGGCAACTTTATTTAAGGTGACCCATCTAAAATATTTATGATATTAAATTAAGCATAATTATGTTATATATTTTTTTTAAAGGTGGTTATGATGGCCAGGAGTTTGTGAATGTTGTTGAAGTGTACGATCCTTCTACAGACCAGTGGACAACTGGGATGACGATGAGCAGTCCGAGGTCAGGACTCGCTTCTGCTGTCAGTTATCAACTTACTAATACCTAGTGAATTAAACCTTTCATCGTTGTGATTAAATCTATGTCATCAATGTTACCTATTATATTGGTATCTTGGTGTGATTGGTCTGTTTAGACTAATACCAATGTGGGGGAGCAATAACTGCTCAGAACAATACTCAGGAATCCCCTGTATAGTTCATATTCTTTTGGCATTCCGTAAAAAGTATTTATTCATTTGTCAATGCCTAAATTGAGAAAATCTTGAATTAATATAATTGTATATTGTTGGATATTTTAACTAAATATCATGCATTTCAGATTTAATGGTTTCTATTGAAAAAACATCAAGTATATGTTTTTACAGTAAGATCAATGTATGTAACCATTGGATGTATAACAACTCAAATTTTATGAAGTAATTTTATTACATTTAAAAACTATACCTTGATGATCTGTGATTTTTAGTAAAACTATTAATATTTAAGAACAAATTGTATGTTTGTTTAAATATATTTTAATTTATAATATTCATGTTCTGTATTGTATTTGCTATTGACTCCACCAGAAAATTGAAATTTTTGAGTTGTGATACTCACGCATTGTTGGAACTACATACACTGAGGCAGAAAAAAAGGTAATTATTAATTACCTTAATTATTTGTTTTAGTTTCCAATAAAATAATAATTAACACTTGCATACAAAAAATAACTTCTTTTTTATTTTATAGAAGTTCGATGACATTTTCGTATGTTGCATTTATTATTATTTTATTTTGAATTGAAATTCAAAATTTTTGAATGTATTCTCTGGGATATTTTCATTTTCATCTCTCAGGAAAACCTGTACCTGGAATTATGAGAATTTATTTATTTTCTTATCTGTCATGGCAACGTATGCCATATATATCCAATAGTGTTTAGATTTAGATATTATCACCTATCTCTAGATAGTTTTAAAAAACATTTTATTTTGCCTCAGTGTCTTGTTAATAATATTCAAAATTAAAAAGTTATATTAGCTGACAATTGTGATTCTAATGTTAAAGATGTGTATAGTAAATGAATTATGAGAAAGGTTGTAATTTTATATAAATCTTTGAAATTAAGTTTAATTATGCAATTTTATTTTTTTTTAAATGGGATTAGTGTAGGAATAATTTTTTTTCTATGGATCAAACATTTGTTTAATCTAATGGAAAAATAATACATCATTGGTCCTTCATTAGGTTATTAGGGATCAATTTTGAATTATTTGTAATAAATTTAATATGGGCTACCAAAGTATTTGACCTTTCTCTCACATTCATAATACTTATAGAAAATTTACATTCCATGTAGTAATATTTAAGTTCACATAATTTTATATTTTTGTGGTTGTGGCACCCAAATTTAAATATGCATAGTATAAATAATATTTCAATTTGTACAATCACATGTGATTAAATCAATTTTATCGACTTAGTTTTAAAAGTCATGATAGGCATCATAGATTTTTGTTTTGTATTTTATTTACTGTGACTTCTGAAGCAGAAGGCAGTCATCCTTCATTGACATATTTCTGTAATATTCATTATCTGAATATTCTGTACCTTGACTAATAAGGTATTTGTCAACTGACTCATTGAATTTCTTTTTTAAATCACAAATTTAAAAAAAAAAATTTTTTAGCTGATTATATTGACATAATAATGCATAAACAATTACACTTAGTTTAAGGGCAATGCACTGAAGCAATTGAATTGTTGAAGAGTAATTATATGAGAAGTAAAATAATACCCTGTTCTAGAATACCATTAAGTGCGCTAATTCAAAGTTGTTTCAGTAAGTTGCTAAAAACCAATTTTTCCTTTTTAATCAACATGAAATTGAACCATAAAACTCTTTAAGCGAAACTCATGGGTTTCATATTAAATTTGTTCCTCTTTTAAATAATAATGATTCCAAACATTGTACATATAAACACAGTTATACATATATTTATTTTTATAAATATGGCAATATTTATTTGTAAATATTTTTTAGAATGATGTCCTTATACATCTTAATAAATTGTATAGATCCTGTATAAAGAATACTATTTTCTATTTAATGTCAAAAGGTTTATTATTTGTTAGATGTACATGAAACTAGTGATGTTAGAAGATAAATGTACAATTAACACATCTGATAACATTATTTATATATTGTACAGTTTCTTTTAGATAGAATCCTTTATCCCCTTCCAAGTATATTTGTTTTTTTATATTTAGTTTCTTGTCATGGAACAGTTTTTGAGCGATACTTTCATACCTTTAACAATCTAAAATAAGTTTTTATAGCCAAAACCACGTAGAATAAGTGCAAAAATGTGATAACACTTGTATTATTAGTTAGGTTAAGAATAATTATTGTTAAAATATAAAACAAAATTTCTCACATTGGTACCTTTAGATAAATCAGAACTTTTAATACTGTTTATAAATCAGTGTGGTAATAATCTATAAATTGCGCGAATTGAAGCCATTTATGATTAACATTTTTGTGATTTTAGTGTAATTCTCAGATATATCTGTGTATGTATATTATTTTAGTTAAAAAGAACGGCTGAGAAATAAAACATTCTACTCATAATAAAAATCATATATTTTCAAAGACAGTTTTATTTGTTTAATTAATATTATTCTCGTTGCAGTGATCAGTGCCTTTCTAACTATGATTATTTTTAAAGATACATCTTAAAATATGTAATTATTAATAGTTGCCACGCCTAAACCTAATGAACTGACTCATTTTACTTTTTAATAAAACACCTAGAAGCAGTCACTCAGGCAAGTTTGCCTAAGGGTAGTTTCAGACCAATGACATCAGCTCAACCAGTCATGTCTAATCCTATTAACAGTTAAATTCAGCCAGCTGGGAGGATCACTCGTTGCTCTAAAAGCTTATGTCCTTGGTCTGGGCATACTCTGAGCTTTTGTTACATTATCATATATTAAACATTACATAAATAAGTAATTTTTAAAGTAACGAGTTGACTAGATAATTTTTTGGAATGCAACAAATTTATGATCCAAGACAAGGAAGTTTGTTGAGGGAAATATGAGCAAATGAAGGTGGAGGGAGAGGAAAAAGAGATGTGGTAATAGAATGCTGCCCACTTCAAATCTTTGTTTGGAAATACTATTAAAGAATGAGGAAAGTAAATATGGCCAGAAATATTTTCTCTTAAAAAGGAAACTGATGTTTGCTTATGCACTTTAGTTGCATTATGTTCCGAATCACCTAGTCACATAAATCCATTTCATGGAGAAGTGAGTATGTATAGAAGGAATGAATTGAAATCACTCCATAAAAATAGCAGCATTTTAACTGTTTTTTCTCGGACTGCAATTCCAAAAACTATTTCTTATTTTTTTTAACTTCTCTTTATTTAAACCTGTCAAAGAAATTAGCAACAATCAGTGAATTTGATGTTTATTCCTGTAAATACTGAAAGCAGTATCTCCTGATGTCTTTTATACTATTTATTTTTATTGTTAGGTGAGATCCCTCATCCAGCTCCTCTTCACCTTCTAGTAATGTCTGGCATGTACGTTGTTGCCATGTTGTTTATAAGTATGTTAGGCTGTGCTTGTAATTTGTAATGGATTCATTAATATGCAATGTGTAAGGTTATATTGCTAACAAACTAAGGTGCTTTTGTAACTGTCCTAAATATTTGAAGTTTGTTAATGGGTCTTTTTAGCTGTTACAAGTATCTGTGATGCACGAGTCCAAACAATTTAGTAAGTAAGTATATATGTTCAATTTTTGTCAAGTTTTAGTTTGGTGTGTTAACAGAGAAGTGAATTTAGTTTTTTTTTGTGATATGTGGGCCCCTTGTCATTTTTCGGTCAAATATCAGACCAAAGGGAATCATGGAATCTGTGTATTGCCACTAAAAACTGAGGGGTCACTTTTACTCTTCATGTTTCATGTAAAAGTGACATGATTTAGTCAGATTTTCCCAAGTTTAAAACAGTCGTGAAATTTATTTAAATATTGTTGTAGGGTCTCTGATGCCTAAGTTGAGTTTTCATGTCTTGCTAAAATAGTCATCAACATATTGCTGTTGAAATGTTGGAACTGGAAGGTATATCATACTACATATAATGTAGAATAATGAACCTTAGGGTACTCCTGCTGAGATAGGCCTAATACAAGATAGTTCTGACTCGTGCCAGATGGAGAAAAATATATTAGAAAAGAATGAGTGTAGAAGAAGATAGTATGTATATGGAAGTATTGTCTTGAGCTTAAACTGAAAACTCTGTCAAGCGCTTGAGCAATATCCAGAAATACAATATTTGCATACAATTTCTGCCCTACTGCTGTGGATATATATTCCGTTATTCTACTTAGCTGGTGTATAGTCGAGTGATGTGTCCAAAACCCAAATTGATGGTCTGGTAATATTAGTGTGTTTGTTAGTATATCAAGTCTTTTGTACAAGAACCATTATTTAAAATCCAATGATCACTTCTGTTTCCTTAAATCAATCTTCTTTAATCTTGAAAAGTGGACATATAAATAGAAAATTGAAATAAATGCTAGAAAATCAAACATCGCCTGATAACTAGCAGGAATTGAGAGGAAAATCTTAATATTAAATAGGCAATGGGTTACATCAGCAGCTTAATGTCAAAGAATTGTGAATATCAGGATATTTATTATTTTTGTACCATTAATATAATCTCATTTTGAATACAATCATCTTTATGATTTTGTATATAGTTCTGAAGAGGACGTGCAATGTGGGCCAAAACATCATCATTTCATAAATAGTTTTTAACAGATGTTTTCTGTGTTAGTTTTGATCATTATTCAATTGACCATTCATTGTTATATATAATCATGTAACTTTCAAATAAAATATAATACTATAATCACCAGTTGGATACCAGGTTTTTAAAAAGAAATTTTGAAATTCAGTTTTTATTTCTTTTTAAGACATTTAAATATAAATTCTACTTTAAAAAATATTAACAATAGCATGAAATTTAACAAAAACATAAATAATATATATGATACAATGCATTAACAACTGGAAAAAGTCAAATAACTTGAAGTTATGATTCTCCTGTTGGCTTTGGGCGCCTGAACATAAGAATGTGTGGTTCTGAAACAATAATTGAATATTTTACTTAGGCAAAGAAAGTATTAAAATAGAAAGTTAAAATATACATAATAAAGGGCATGTGTAATTTCTTTAATAATATATTTACCTGGGTTGTGGCTCATATACTGAACCCAACCAGTACTCTGCTGAATACCAAGATTGCGCCATTCTGTTTCAGTCATACGGTGGTTTTTGGGTACTAGTTTTGTAATATCTGGAGGAAGAGACACATGCCTATGCAAAGAAAATCAATTAAGATAAATGGACATAAATTTGAAAATAAGCAGACATGTGAAAAATTCTAATTTATGACTTATTCAAACTCCAGATTGTTCTAATAGAAAAGATTATTTAATTATCTTCAATCAAATTCCTGCTTAAACTGCCTCAAGGGATAAACTAAACCTCAATAAGTTAAATGAGAAATTGACTCTAAAGAATGCATCTACAGAATGAATAGAATGGTTTGAAAGAAAAATCCTAAGACGGATAATAGAACCTAAACTAGAGAAATGAGTTCCCCGCTTGAGAACAAACGAGGTATACTCAATGTACGGCGTTCTGCCTATCTCCTGATTCGCTCGAGTTTAGCGAATAAAATGGCTAGGATATGTCTGTAGAATGGATGAAGAGAGGACAGTGAGAAAGTTTTATCATGAAAAGCCAGAGGTAATTGGGTCTAGGGGAAGACTGAAGGCAAGATGGATAGATAACGTAAAAGATTTGTGAAAAAATGACACATCCATTAGGTGAGCAGCTAACAGAGATGACTGGACAACGGAAATTTAGCAGGCCAGCAGGAGTTTTAGATAAATATCCAGAAAGAGGAGCATTCATTTGTTTGTCTAAGACTACACTCAGAACCCAGTATAAATACCGTCAAGAAGGAAAAAAAAAATTGTCAATAATACATGAAATTTTACTAACTCATATTTAAATTCTAGAATGCTACCTGTTTCTTCAAATATTTTAAGTAATATTATTTTTTTGTAAAAAAAGATACAAACTTAAAATTAAAAATTTGACAATGTTTTCAACTTCAGAGAGATAAGTACATTCAATACATCAGTAATTCAATAATTTACAGACTAATTATACAGAGTAAATTCGATAATACCTGTATTCATACTTGTCATCTTGATATCTATCAGAATATTGAATCTGGTCAGCAGGCATTGTTATATTTTATTATAACAGCTAAATAATGTAAGTTGCTTTCAATTAAAAATGTAATTTATTTTCTAAACAACCTAAAAACAAAAATAAGTAGATTTTACCAATACACACACTCATCAAATAACAATAAAAAAAGAATGAGAAAAGTTGCAAGCTAAACACTTCAATCAAATAATAGATACTTCTGGAGGGAAAGTCATTTATGGCAGGGATTACAAAGAGTAAGATTCCAAAGAGATACCATTTACTGTTCTCATTGAAAAATTAATTACGTACCTATAGGCTAGGGTTTTTATTGTATTGACACTTGTGATATCCTATAATCCCTAATAAGATACCTTAATTGTATATGATATATAAAATGGTTAAAGCAAGAAGTATAATACATAAGGTATCGAAATTTCCATCATATGTTTAATTTTCCATTGGTCCATGCCTTTCATCAATAGAAGTTTTTGAAATTACTTATTGTAGGATTTCTTTATTCTTCTTTTTTTCGATTTTTATAGAATCTTTTTCACTTTATGTAAACAAAGACCAGATTATTAATACTTTCGAGTTTAACTTTATCTTTTCTGAAAAGACAAAGTTATAATTACCTTATAACTCATAATTTCGACATCGAAATGAAAACGAGATCGAAATACTGTAATATTAAATTCCAAAAAAAATGCCATTTATGACTAATTGATTCACTTGAAACATAAAAAAAAGTTATGTTTTTTATGTTTAATTTATTTATTATTATTTAACGTAGTAACTATCTACATATTTTAAATTAGATTTCTGAATATCTAAAAGTGATCTTCGTTGTATAATGTCCATCAAGACATGTATTAGGTTTCTCGTATTACACCAATCGCCGGCTAACATGTTTGGGCTGTAATTTCAGATATGCCTTTTTTCGACTGATGAAATATTTTGATAAAACCTTTTTCGATACTCTTCTGATACTGCTCCAAAATTCGCAGAAAAGAAAGAATTAAAAAATATAGTTGAAAAAAATGAGTTCTTTCGATGTTCCTGGAAGTTCTCCCATTTATTGTTCTTTAAATAGTAGTTACAAATGTTTTTTAATGCATTCCACTCTCCTTTTGACCCAATTCTACATGAATACTTCTGTTGTACATATAAGAAGATAACCCTTTCTAGGAGATTTTTTAAGTTCCAAATCCGAATCGAAAGTATGAATTTGAGAACATTCGGGAACGGATAATGACTAGCTGGGCTTGGTTTTGCTAGTAATTTATATTCATTCGTCTTATAAAAATAGCTGTCGTCCACATGGATTCGAAATAACCTCCAAACGATTAGAACTGCGAATTATATATATTTGTGAATTGAGAACTAACAAACACTAAGATTGTGAGCTTACATCCAGGATCATAATGAGAAACCAAGGCTCAGCTCCTGGCATAATTTGTTACTCAGTTAAATATTAAATTTCCCACTAAAACAAAACCTTTACGTTTATAATGTGTGGAAAAAAACACCATGTAAGTCATTTCGGTCACATTTAAGTCACTTGGAAATAATTGGATCAAATCAAAACAAAAACCAGTTAAACAATTTTATTGATAATATATTCGTTTAGAAGCGTACTTTCCATTCATAGTTTATTAAAATTTGTAATTATATGGCACAATAAAAAATATATGAAATGCTGATTTCTCACTCCAGTGCTGTCACAACTCTATAATACCTTAATTTTAAACTATTTTACTATTTATTTACTATTTACTATTTAAACTATTTTTATGCGTGGAACTTTTAATCTAGGGATATTGAGAAATGGTATGATAACTTATCTCGATATTCACATTTTAAAAACTACTGATTAATACATGTTGCCTGACCGATTCATTTTATGCATGCTAATACTCCTTATAATGATGCTTACTCCCTAGAATATTTTTATAAGTAATAAGAAACGAAGTGAGAAGAGAAATTCTTCGTTGTTCTTTAAATTAGGTCTCTTCCCACTTTACTATAGAGAATTGTTTTTTTTTTTTGCTTCTCACTTCCTTGAAGATTACTTTTCCTATAAAGGTAAGTTGATTTTAATCAAACATTGTACACTGAGTGGAGTTTGGTTGTGATTTGTATGAGATTATTTTGAAGTGACTCTGTTTTAACAGCTGGGTAAGTTGTGTCCATGAAAGGCTAAATTCTTGCTACCTAGCCAGAATGGCCCATCAACCCCAACGTCGATGGCGCATGAACTATCCCCATTTTTCAACAATTCTATTACTCTCTTTTTAACAACAGTGCAAGTGAAAGTAGGATTAGACAAATCGTAAAACAGATTGAATTTCTGTTGTCTGTCCCATGTTTTTCTTCTAGTTTTAAAAGTTTTCACTCCAATAATTCACACACTCACGAAATGTGACCCCTTCAAAATTCAAACCCCAATCAAAATACATCTCCCTCAAAAATTTTGATGGTGAAACTTACACCATGAAACTCCCTTCTGGGCACTCCTAGCTCCACACTACCTGAAAAATCCAAATAACGCCGTCTCAACGTTTTGTTTTTTTGTAAAGACTGTTAATTCGTCATTATTTGCTGTAAATCGCAAACAAATTAGGTTAAATTTAACAAAACTAAGTAATACAATTATTTATCCACTATTAATAAAGACGATACTCTATGAGAAAAAATAATCATTATTTTTTTGAATATTTAAGAGTTGACCGTTGCATTATAAAGGAAGGAGATGGTCCGAGATGGCGGTCATAAATAGGCTAAATAGTGGCAAAACTATTTTATTAAAAGCCAACGTTTCGACCCGACTTTGCAGGTCTTCTTCAGGGCTAGAACGGACAAGATACGAAAAGATAGAGAATTGTGGAAGTTAAATAATATTTAGACAAAATTTATAAACAATGTGAATAAGGTTATTGAAATTGTAAACAGTAAGTATAATAAAATATGAAAAGTAAGTAAAGTAACAAGTTCCTAAACTGAAGTAAGTAGATGTTAACAATTGTTGTAGTGTAATATATAATAAATGCAAATGTGAATATACTTCTACAGATATACAGGACAGATTGAAATAATAGACAAAAAGGAATGTGGAGAATGAAAAGAAAAAGAAAACCAAAAATTAAATAATTAAGTAAATAAAATGGAAGAATAAAATTAGAGACTTACAGGTGTGTTCAGCTAGGTGTTTCACTTAGAACTGGAAAATCAGGGTAATAAGGGCAGGTATTGGGGAATTTGCTGACTTGTTTTAAATTAATATGCTTCTCTTTTTTCTCGAAAAAACTTTGATGCCTGTGACTTAAATTTTAAAATGACCCAAATAAGATATGTAATGATGTCTACATTTTATTTTAATGTAAATTTAGAAGTTAAAAAATAAAAACCTGTAGGTGAGTTTGAGCCCTTCGAGGCCATGAATAGTTCACCATTTGTTAATAAATTATTACTTAATTAATATCATCATTGTTTTTCTAAAGTAAATATTTTACATTACTGTGCTCCTATGGTCGGTATAAATTGTTTCAATATTTTACTCATATTCTAGGTTTGCTAGGTAAGACATAAATAATGAAGTAATTTTAGATATACTGCACAATAAACAAACGCGGATCCCTTAAAATATTTTAGAAAACAAATTGAGTATTCGTTTTTCTATACTTCAAACAACCATTAGAATACGAATTTTCAAACAAACTAAAGGTGTTTTAGATGAAGCTATTGTGAAAATTAGGTATTTAAACTCTATCAGTCTATTTCAATCAGGGGTGCCCAGAAGGAACCCGCTTGCGCAAGTTAATAATTTCACGAAGTTAATAATTTTTGAGGATGGCACATTTTTATGGGGTTATTCATTTTTGGAAGGAACCATATTTTTGAAGAGTTTTAATCAGAGACAAAATTTTCATTTGCATCGTTTCAAGGAGAGGACAGCAATAATTTCTTGAGAAGAAGGATTTTAATCAGGATATATCTAACTGATATTAAACGTTATTTAATTGTTTATCGACATAACTAGTTTAATAAAATCATTAGAGGCCTTCTCGAGTTATATAAAATGACACTTCCGAGTAATGGATTTTATCTGAGGAAAGAACATAACATCCCAGACAGATCCCTCCTTGCACAGAAAACGTAATGTCAGGTTCTGACACTAGTGGATTCAGGATTTAATTTGGGGGGAGCTTCAGCTCCAAAGCTTTTTTTTCATAAAAATGACGATAATTACTTTGGAAAAAAAGAAAGAAACTAACTACCTATATGAAATGCTGTTTAAGTGACTCCTTAAGTCCTTTTAAATGTAATTACACGAACAATAATACTTTAAGAGATAATTTGTTAATATTTTTTTCCATAAAACATGGTTATATTTTACCATTTTGGTGGGGTGCTTCAGCCCGAAAGCCCCCCCTCTCCCGTAGATCCACCTCTGGATTCTGAAAACTTCTACTTTTTGAGTAGGCTGTTCTACAGACATAATTTTGCTAGACTTGGTTATTTGGACTCCGATGACCTTAAAACTTTCATTTCTGTTGAGATTTTTTCCGATAAGAATCCTTTCCGTTACCAGTATTTTACATTTATTGGTAAATGATGATAAAAATAAAATTCAGAATGCCTAAGTTATCTTTTATGAATAAATCAGAATGAATTTATTTTTATGAATAGAAATAAATCAAATTACCATTCAACGTACGTTACGAAATAGAAAAAAAAAATGTTCAATTAAACCCAGGGACTTACTGAAAAAGCATAGTACACTGCATGGGAATGTTATTTTAGTAACAAAAGCGAATATAAGATCGAGTTATTATTTAATAATTTCATTGCATGTATTAAATTGTGATGAAATAAGGCTTGACTCTTTAGCAATGGGATAAAAAAATCAGATAAGGCTTATGGAAGAATTCAAAACCTAATTCATTTGTTGATGCCTAAAACGGAAATCGTGAGTTTTTTTTTTTTTTCTATTTGGAGGATAACAATTTTTTTCTGGCACAAAAATGCAAAGATTC